AGCAACTGAACATACATGCATGGGAAGCATTTGAGAAGGGCAATGATGTCCATATGCAAGCTGCTCCTTCACAAGCTGAGTTGTTGTATAAGAATTATAAAGTGAATAAAGAGAAGCTCAAATCTCAAGTGAAGGAGACAATTGTTGAGAAATATGGGAATGCAGCTGCTGACGAGGCGCTTCCAAGAGAACTTTTATTGGGTCAAAGTGAAAGAGAAGTTGAATATGATCGTGCTGGAAGAATCATCAAAGGCCAGGTATTTTTTTTTAATTAACTTACAAATTTTGATATGAATAAACTAACAAACTGTTGTTTTTATTGTAAAGTTATTTGGGTTTTAATGAGCTTTTAATACTATGCTCAATGAAATGTTATTTCTAGGGTTAATCTCATAAGAGTCCTGATATTTTGTGTTTTTCCGGATTAAACCTCAAATTTATTATTTGCCTGAAAAAGACCTCTTGTATTTTTTCATTTTTTCCGATCTGGCCCTTTTAGTCATTTTTTTCCAAAAAAAATTGTAAAATGTGAGGGCTTTCTGGAGAAAAACTAAATAAGTTGAGGGTTTATTTGGATGCAGTTAGAAGGTTGAGGGTTTTTCTTTGGAAAAAAAGACAAAGTTGAGGGTTTTTTCAGAAAAAAATGAAAAAATACAAGGTCTTTTTCAGACAGAAAATAAAGTTTGAGGTTTAATCCGGAAAAAACACTAAATATAAAGTCTTTTATGAGATTAACCGTTACTTTTACTATAACTTATCTGGAAATAATCAAAAAATTTGTAATATAACTGACCCATTTTAATTTTAGTAATTTGTAACCAACTGAATCTTTTTAATTAAATTGCATTTTTGGTCCTTGAATATAGCTGTTTTTTTTTTCTTCAAATTTGGTCCTTATTTGTGGTTTTTGTAATGCTTTTGGTCCATTTTTAAAAGAAACTAGTTATATTTTTGGGTCCAAAGTTGCAAAAGTGAGCTACCAAAAATAGTAATTTTCCATGGAACAAGGACCAAAAGAGTTAGTAGAATCTCAAATGAGGACCAAAATTGCAGTCATCAGCTATACTCAGGGACCAGAAATGCAACTTACTCTTCAAATTTTATATTTCTTCAATTAAATTCCAATTTTATTCTATGAAAATAAAACTATAAAGTATTATTCATTATAACTTAGTTGGGTTTTAATGATATTATGTTCAACTTTAAAAACTAAAATAGAAAATAATTTATACAATAGAATGAAAAGTATAGTTTGTATTTAAGTATAATATATATAAAAATAACAAAACATGATTTGTGTAATGACTAATGACCCATTCCATCTCATTCATCCAAGCCAATACGAAGAGATCCTTAAGGCTTTGTTTTTGGTTTGTTGCAGGAAATGGCTCTTCCTAAGAGCAAATACGAAGAGGATGTTTACATCAATAACCACACTTGTGTTTGGGGGTCTTGGTGGAAAGGCCATCAATGGGGTTACAAGTGCTGTAAGCAGTTTATTAGAAACAGTTACTGCACAGGTGCTGCTGGCATTGAAGCTGCTGAAGCCGCATCCGATCTCATGAAGGCCAACATCGCACGCAAAGAGGCCACTCAAGGTTATTATTATTATTATTATTATTTTTTTAATTTAATCGATTACTTTACTTGCTAACAATGTATGTGTGTTTTTGTCTGTTTGATCAGAAGTTGTTGCCCCAACTGAGGAGAAGCAGCTTGCCACTTGGGGAACCGACATACCCGATGACTTGGTTTTGGACCAAGCCAAACTCACAGAAGCACTTAAAAAGGTAAAACATTTTTCCTTTTCAACCCTTATGCTTCTACTTTTTGCAAACTTTACCCCAATTTCATACATATATATATATATATATATATATATTTATAATGTAGGAGGACAAGAGGCGGAGAGAAGAGAAGGATGAAAGAAAGCGAAAATATAATGTTAAGTGGAACGATGAGGTGTGTAAAGCGTAAACTGAACTTTCATCTTTTATTATTTTCATTTTCTGTGTTTATTTAATTATATTTATAATTTGGGTTTCAGGTGACGGCTGAAGATATGGAGGCCTACAGAATGAAGAAGGTCCTCCATGACGATCCGATGAAGGACTTCCTAAACTAAACTACTAGCTTTTTCCTTTTCCTTTTGCTTTTCCTCTGTATTGTATAAGTATTGATAAAGTAAGTGCTGAATGGATAATGGATGTCTGGATAAAATGTTATATTTCAACAAGTGTGCTGTTTTACATTATTGTTTGTTTAGTCTCTCTTTGTAATTAGGTTATTTGTGTCTTTTTAATTTTATCAACATGATTGATTAATTAAAAACCGAAATACAAATCTAAACCTAAACCTAAACCAAAAAAGAAGTTGACTGTTTTTCAAAATCATCATCACACTTCATGACTAATTTCCAAAATAAGGTTTAATGCTTGATATAGTCATACCTATAGAGTTTAAACAAACATCATAGAAAGTTCACAATCTACAATAGTAATGAAAGATTCATCGACTTCGATTGTTGGTTGCAACCATACTGAATCCTTGATGCATGCACTTTGAAATAGTAATGCATTTATAATAATTATTATAATTCATATGACAAACAATATTATACATGATAAACTTATAAAATTAATTACTAGAATAAGAAGGCGTTATCAAAATGTTAACCAAATCTTGTTTTCCAGGGGTTTGTTTGATTTCTACTTCTAATTCTGCATTCTTCATAGTTTCGTTGTAATTAGGGGTGGTAAATCGTGCTATCGTTTCATGTTTCTGTCTGACATGACACGACACGATGTGTTTTTTTAGCTAACACGAAAACGAACGCATTAAAAAACGACAAACACGACACGACACGACAAATATAAAATATACTAAAAACTACTTTATTTATTATATATTTTATCACATATAACACGATAAACACGACAAACACAAAAAACACGATAAAAAACTACTAAATCGTGTCAATTTCGTGCCGAATTTTGAGCATAAACATGACACGACACGACATCGTGTTTTTCATAGCTAACACGAACACGACACGACACATACACGAATTCAAATTTTAGTTTCGTGCCAATTTCGTTTCGTGTCGTGTATTTATGTCGTGTCGTGTCATAAATTGTCACCCCTAGTTGTAATACATAGTTTCTCAAATTCCTTCTTTTCTAAACGTTTTATGTTATCAGAGTGACTACCACCAGTAATATTGAGTTCTGATTCTGCATTTCTTTTAAGTTGGGATCCATATTCTTTAGCATCGGGTTGTTTTGGTTCTTGTGAGTTCTTACAAAATTTCGTTTTCATTCAAGTTTATGAATGCCTACCAGGTGTTCGAGGTTTCGTTCCTTTTAATACCACACCTTTTATTGAATGCTCAAGCATGCCAAGTCTTCTCGTTGGAAATACTTTTGTGAATTCTTAAAAAAATTGTTCCTCAAATGTATGTTTTGTTCCTTGAAGATTAGAATTACATATATTATATTAACCGATCCATAATCATAAGCATGCCCTTTTAATGGTTTATGTGACCTACAAAGTATTATAAATTCTTCTGTATTGAGATTGGATAGACTTGTTGAGATTGTAAACTCCATGGTAATCTTTTTATTGTTGGAAAAGGAGTTTATTCATATAAGGGTTTTAATCAGGGATAATGACTTAAAAGGGTAATATATTTTTCGATTTGTATATATATTTGGTCACTGAGTTTTTTTTTTTTTTTTTTTTTTTTTTTTTTTTTCATATTTACCCCTTCAACTTGTTAAAGTGTACATATTCAGTTCTTATGACCGATTACTCCAGGTTAACCGGAAAAAATGACTTACTAGGGTAATATATTTCTCATTTTGTACACATTTAGTCCTTAATATTTTTGTACACATTTAGTCATTAATATATTTTTTTTTGTTTCAAAATAAGTCATTTTTTGTTTTTGTACCAACTCAATACTTATGAATGATTTATTTAGGGGTTTTTCTCACGACATCTAACATGAGACTATCATTGATGACAGGGACGGTTCTCTTTGGGTGCTTGCAGTGGCACCGACAATCCCTGCTTTTTCTGTATGTTGTGTAAAATTTTCGATATTTTTTCTTTTTTCTAATTACCGACAACACCTACTACGGACCGGAAACACCTACTACCAAATCCTGCGTCTATCCCTAATTGATGAAGTGTTTGAGGTTGTTGATGCTTATGTCCATCGCGGTCTCGACTGTTTGATTGCATAGGTCTTGTGGTTTGGCTTAGGTTTTGTATTCCGAACGTCGTAACTTCTTCATTCAATATATGATATTATCAATCTTTATATCTACGTGTTCGTTTTTTAAGTTTGCTATAACTTTCGTTAAGATTACTCCCGTTAAAATATAATATGTTGTTTTACTTACGATTTTATTAAAAAAAATCCATACACATTCATAAAAAACGTATGGATATAAAGGTCGTAATTAAAAAATATATTACTTTTTAACGGAAGTAATCTAAACAAAAGTTGTAGTAGACTAAAATACAAACATATAGATATAAAGATCGTTAAAATCCGAGATAGTATGAAAAAGTTATGACGTTCAAAACACACGACCTAAGCAACCAAGTAGTCGAGATCGCGATGAACATAAGCATCAAAAGTTTAAAACACCTCGTTAATGATTGTTCCATGTAAGATGTTGTAAGAAAAACTTAAAGAAAACATTTATAAGTATTGAATGACTACACAAACAAAAAAAATTATTTTGCAACAAAAAAAAATAATTAAGGACTAAATGTGTACAAAAATATTAAGGACTAAATGTGTACAAAATGAGAAATATATTACCCTATTAAGACATTTTTACCGGTTAACCTGAAATAACCGGTCATAAGGACTGGATGTGTACAGTTTAACAAGTTGAAGGGATAAATGTGAACAAAAAATAAACTCAGTGACCAAATGTATACAAATCAAAAAATATATTACCATTTTAAGTCATTATCGATTTTAATCATGCAACTTTATGTTTATTAATTAAGGTTGATTTCCGATAGCTAATATATTTTTAACTTGGTCTCTTTATTTATCTTCTCGAACTCTTTGTTGTAGCTTGTTACACATTCTTGCTCTCCAAATGTTGATGACATATTGAGGCTGTATTTGCTCTCCAAATACGATTTTATCAATTATTTTATTATTTATATATTTTAAATTTGATGAGGAATTTATTTATGCTTAATTTGGATTTTGTATGTCATTTTGTGTGTGTGTGTATATATATATATATATATATATATATATATATATATATATATATATATATATATATATATATATATATATATATATATATATATATATATATATATATATATATATAACAACTTTATTAGGATATTTTACAAATTGAAACATCGAAACATTTTATTCAACCCAAAATATATTAAGCAAATTCAATCAGAGCTTCAAACCTAATTAGGCTCTTACTCATTCAGATCTAACTCACTCAACAACTATCAAACAACCCCAAAGTATGAAATGAATCTTGAACACGACCTATGGTGCCAAAAGAGGAGTCCAAAACAACCGTAGAAACTGGCATCACAAGCACATTTGGACTCTTCATAGTACATCTTTTTGACTGGTTGTTGTCTGTGTTGGCATTATATGTGGCATATTTAACACTAAAACCATTACCCTTACACGACGTTGGATGTATACAAAGTTTGCTATATGTTGAAGCTCTCTAAGAATAAGGATGCCAACTACTTCTAGCATCTCCACTAGGCGGTGTAATTCATCGCGATTGCCACATTGCAACTCCCATATGCACCTAGGACAAAAGATAACACTGGAAGAAAGTTTAGAGTATGTCTAAATTCAGTTTGAATTCTTTTTTTTGATTTTCAGTATTAAAATCCTGGCTCTTGTTAACCTATAAAGTGTTGTTTTTGATACTGAAGAATCTAAAAAAATGCAATTATTGGTAGTGGGTTGATTCGGAACATATGAATGTGAAGTTGAAGATGAAATGGATAAAAGAGACTTGTATTCAGATAAGATTGTGATTACAAAATAGATGCAAACACTAGGCACACACATGAACTAACACCAAAACCATCTATTTATAGAAAAAAGTACATTCTAAGGACCAAACCATGCCTACGCATAACATATAGATGAAGATGCCTCCCACACCTTGGCTGACACAATCTTCCAAAAGATCTCATCTCATAAAGTAGCAAAGGTACTTTCTTCTATGATGATTAAAGCAATAAAGGGCTCGGTATCTTCACATCAACTTCTTCAAATAGACTTCACATCTCCACATATCAACTACTCAAAAGACTTAACTAATTTTACTTAGCTGCCGATGGTCACTTCATGCTTCAATAATCCCCCCCCCCCTAAGTGACCTCACAACTATCTCTTCACCTGTTAAGTTTGAGAAACCTGATCTACATCCTCTAGAATTTTCTCGCAGTCATCAACCAACGTATAGCTTCCTTCACCTCTTTGGTAGTGAATTTTGATCTACTTACAACATTCATAACTCCTTCAAGTTGAGCGTTCATGCATCAATGAAATGATGATGCATGAAGGAAGCTCTTCTTAGTTGATTTGCCCAGACAAATGTCACACCCCCAAACCAAGGATGGCGGAAACGTCCGGGGGTGGAGGATTTCATGTACAGTATCACAACAACGAATATAATAGTGCTTAAAGTAAATACAACCAACATAAATATAATTGAAAAAGTTATACCAAAGTATATGTTTACATGATTCAAAATCAATTACATTATGATGACAAAAATAAATTGTTGACGGTTTAACGTCCCATCCTCAAAGCGATGAAGTTTTCCTGTTTCACTAATTTCCTGAGAATACAAGTAGTTTTGAAAAGTATCAACAATTAAGTTGGTGAGTTCATAAGAGTTTTGTTTGAAGTAGAAACCGTTTTCCTTGTAAAATCGATATAGTTTGATTTGCAGAAAATCCAATATTTTCTTAGTTAAGTGTGAATAGAAATATTCCTTTATGATGCATTAATGAACCCTAGAATGACCCGTAGAGTTCCTCTATAATCGTCCAGCGTATATAAGTTATATAAGGTTTAAATTAGATAAAACGTTGAATATAGTGGGTCTGCCCTAGGTCCACAACCAAACAAGGAACAGGAGATGAGGCAGGCACCACTAATTC